AGGAGAGCAGTAATCGAGAGAAAAGAGATTATTTTGTTGATCTATAAAGAGTCACTTCTCAATCTTGAGAAATCTAATCCACCCCTCCCTAGTTTGGCTAAACCTTTATTGCAGGAATTTAAAGACATGTTTCGAGAGGACGTGCCAAGTGGATTGCCATCAATTCGAGGCATTGGGCACCAAATTGACTTCATACTTAGGGCTGTCATTGCAAACTGACCAACTTACTGAAGTAATCCTTACGAAACAAAGGAACTACAAAGGCAAGTTGAGGAACTGATGAGCAAGGGATATGTAAGAGAGAGCATGAGTCCATGTGTCATTCCAGTGCCACTTGTGCCAAAGAAATATGGAACCTAAAGAATGTGCGTAGATTGCACAACCATCAATATTGATTGTAAGAATGGTTAGTAATGCTGTTTGGACTCAAGAATGCACCAAGTACTTTTATGCGGTTGATGAATCATGTATTACGTGCCTTTATAGGAAAATTGTTGTGGTTTACTTTGACGACATATCAGTTTATAGCAAGGACCTTGATGAGAATGTAGAACACTTAAAGAGTGTGCTTGTAGTTTTAAATAAAGAACAACATTATGCTAACTTTGAGAAATGTACATTTTGCATGGAAAAGGTTGTCTTTCTAGGATTTGTGGTTAATGCTACTAGGGTAGAAGTAGATGAAGAAAAAATAAAGCTAATAAAGATTAGCCTACACCTAAGAGCACAGCTGAAGTAAATTTCATGGCTTGGCTAGTTTTTATAGGCTATTTGTGAAGGACTTTAGCACAATCACTACACCACTCACCGAAGTAGCTAAGAAAAGTATAGGATTTCATTAGGGGGAAGAACAAGAGCATGCATTTAATACCATTAAGGATAGATTGTGTAAAACACTTATGATGTAATACTCCGAAATTCTATGCTCGTTAAATTTGCTCATTTAATTTTTTTGATAGCAATTTAACTTTTCAAAATTTTTATATGGCCAAACTATTAATGGTTGCCAAGTTTGCATTTTCGGTTGATTAAAAGTTTACCAAGATTAGTTAATTAGAGGTTTGGGATAATTGTCAAATTCTACATCTATCTTATTAGTATTATGGATAAACATTATCCTTTGCTTCATCCTTGGCCGAGAGGAATGGGGGGGGATGGCGCCACCTTTGTAGTGATTAAATGCATGAGGTGTTTGATAGTTAACCAAAGCTGGAGGTGTTAATTGTTAGACATGCAAGAGGTGGTGATTATCTAAGCAAGTAGGAGGTGTTCAATTGTGGCACAAGCTGGATTTAAAGTGCTAAATAGATGCATGGGGTGAGGTTAATGCAAGTCCACATGTTGGCACAAAAAAATTCCTAGATAGTGATCCCTTGTTTTATCCATAAGTCTCCCTTGCCTTATGTAAATATGAGATGTTTCCCTGCATTTTATTCCTCCCAAAACCAGAAAGTCTCTTGTAAGAGTTGGAAGAATATGTAAAGAAAAAGGAAACAAAAGCCTAGCGCATTTCAACCGAAAATATTTCAAGTTTTAAGGTAAGATACTTTCTATGCTTAAGTGGTAGGATTTCATGGAAATATTTATGCTTAAGCTATGAATGAAAAACCATAATATGAATGTGGTGGACAAGTCCACAAAGTTAGATATCTACTTATGCCTTAAGACAAGTCCAAAGGGCACCGGCAAGTCGGAATGTGCAAGTATGTGTTTGATTGCATTCTTTTGTGTAGTATTAACATGTTAAATCCAAACATGGTATCTTACTGAGTATTCTTTATACTCGTAGTATTTTATACTATATTTTCAGATCCATGATCGTTAGGTTGATGGAAGTCAGTTGGCATAATCAATGATGGGTTAAGGACAAAGTTATTTTACATCAAAGTTTCCTTTTGTATGTTTTGTTCGACGACTGTTTTCATATGTTTTTCTTATGGTATTATATAAAAACATGTATATTACATGATGTAATATGGTATTAAAAGTAAATTTTGTAATCATATCTTTCATGTTATGTTAAGAGACATTTTTATAGACTTTTTCTTGCAAGTGATAAAAGAGGCAAAAACGGGACAGTTTTTGGGTCAACTTCAAAACTCTATTTCCAACTCTATAAACATCCATTTGAGACTCTAAAAATATTCATGCGTTCCTTCTTGATTTTCCTTAGTATGAACGCAGGAATCACTCAATTTGGATATCCGTGGCCTGAGATATAAATTTTTAAGCGTCGAAGGATCAATATGAATTTTCTGTGCAATACCTCACTGTTTTCAGTAAAACGCCCATATCATATGATCTTGGAAATTTTCCATATTTTAACCTAGAAAACTACTTGAAAATATCTTTCTAATTCCGTGAATTTCATGAAAAACGGAGTTGGGATGAATTTTATAAAAATAGTTGAACTGGCTGCCCCAATTAGCCGTGGCAGCGCCGAGTCCATATACCTAAAGTATAATTTCATGTAGACATGTACTTCTGCTGGCCATTAAATTTTATATTCGTGATACACACTGATCAAGAATCGCTGAAGCACTTGCGAGGGCAAGGAAAACTAAACAAAAGGCATGGAAGATGGATAGAGTATATAGACATTTCCCTATGTTATCCAGTACTAGCAACGTAAAGAAAATAAAGTGGCAGATGCATTGTCTCGAAAGTATATTCTACTAACTTCGCTAAGTTCTAAATTGCTGGTTTTGAACACATTAAGGACATGTATAAGGATGATCTAGATTTTTTGATGTTTTACAAATCATGTAGTAAAGGGGCTGTCGATAAGTTCTTTAGGCATGAGGATATTTGTTTAAAAAAATAAATAAATCATGGGTTCCAAATTGTTCAATGCAGGAGTTGTTAGTGAGAGAAGCATATAGTGGAGTTTCAATAGGACACTTTGGGGTTAAGAAAACTTTAGAAATATTAGGGGAATATTTTTATTAGCCTAAGATGAAAAGTGATGTTGAATGGATATGATGCAGTCAATGCATAACTTGTAAGAAGGATAAATCTAAGTTTTTTACCCCCAAGGGCCGTATACATCTTTATCTGCTCCTAGTGAACCATGTGTTGATATTTCGATGGATTTTGTTTTGGGTTTACCTAGGACTAAGAGGGGATGAGATTCGATCTTTGTGGTGGTAGATAGGTTTAGCAAAATGGTGCAGATCATACCGCGTCATAAAACTGATGATGCAACTCACATTGCTGATTTGTTCTTTAAGAAGACAATGCATTTATATGGAGTCCTTAAGAGTATCGTTTCAGATAGGGATGTCACATTTCTGAGTCATTTTTGGCGGGCATTTTGGGGTAAGTTAGACAAAGAATTGCTATTTTCTACAACTTGTAATTTACAGACCGATGGGCAAACCGATGTAGTAAATAGGACAATGACTTAATTGTTGCACACTATGATCAATAAGAAATTGAAAAGTTGGAAGGAGTGCTTACCTTACATAAAGTTTGCATATAATAGGGTCATTCATTCTACTATGTCGTTTTCTCCATTTGAAGTTGTTTATGATTTTAATCCACTAGCTACTATGGCTTTAATACCTTTACTTGTGATGAACATGGTAGGTTAGATAGTAAGAGAAAGGTTGAATTGGTAAAGTCACCATAAAAAGGTCAAAATGTAGATCAAGAACAAAAGCAAGCACATTGCATCACAAGTAAACAAGGGCCAGAAAAACGTGACCTTCAAACTAGGTGATTGAGTTTGGGTATATTTTAGAAAGGAGCGCTTTCCAAACAGAGAAAATAAAAGTTGTAACCACAGGGAGATTGACCATTTCAAGTTGTTAAGAAATTCAATGACAACGCCTACAAATTGGACCTTCTAGGTAAGTATAACGTTTCGACAACTTTTAACACGTCTGATCTATCTCTCTTTGATGTAGGTTCAGATTTAAGTACAAATCACTTTGAAGAGAGAGGGATGATATGATCCAAGGGATGAGCCCAATGAAGACGAGCCTGGAAAGAGACCCATTGATTATCAAAGGAGGACCACTGACTCGTTCAAGGGCAAACCAAATAAATCAAGCGATAGGACTACTTGTGCAATCAACTATTGATGAAATATCGATCTAAGTAAGAAAAGAAGCAACTCTTATGCTGGGATCGAGAGCCGAAATCATTTGGATTAACTACAAGCGGCTGAAGTTGGGACCGAATTGATAACTATGCAGTTGCATACTTGTTCTCACCATAAGACCGCGTAATGGTCACCCAAGACTTGGGTGGGGGAAAATGTGGCCACCATACAACCGTACAAGATAATCCCATGCAGTTACATGATACAAAATCATGGCGAAAATCTCTTTTTCTCACAAATTTCCTTATTTTGTTAAAATTCTATTTTAGGCAAAATTATTGTAATCTCTAATTAATATTTTCCATTTTTACTAGGTTAATTAGGGCTAATTTAAATACATTCTTTTTATTTTCTTCATGGTAGAACTTTTGACATTATTGAGAATTCAAAAAAAGGCAATTTTCTTGTTTGCAATCCTTGTTCTTTTTTAGAACAACATTAGAACTTATCAAGAGTAATCCTGTGTTGTTCAACATCGGGTGCGAATTACGAATTGTTTAATCGCGAGGTCCTTCACACCTTGTATTGTAGGATTGTTTGGTTTATCGTTCTTGGTTCAAGTTCACAAACTGGGATTAATTTTGACTTTCTTGGGTTTGACAATTTTTTGTGGGTTTCGTAGTCACTGTTATTATGCGGGTTCACATCAATGTGTTAATCATCACCAACTAAAATCTTGATCGTTGAATATCAAAGAAAAAATTCTTATTTTTCAGCAACCAAAATTTAGTTGCAGAAAGACATACTGCCAATATTTGGTTGCTAAATGTTGCACGTGTCAGTAAAATACTATTAGCAAGTAATATTTTGTTCATTCTACTTTTTTGTCTAATATTTCAATAGACTTCCCACAACCATAAAATTGAAATTGAAAATATTGAAAATAAGAACAATATGAAAAATAAGAAGAAACATTTCTCTATAAAAGTCAAATTTGCTGCATATAACATGTAACTAATAGTCAATACCTAACCCTAAATATTTAATTTATAACACAAAAGATATATTTTCATATTTTCTATGTAATTTGAATAATATAATCATAGTACCGTAGCACCAATTGATGCTGGCGGTGGAAGGGGATCATTGGTCAATCCTATAGGAGTATGCTAACTTATATCCATTTGTGTAATAAGGCTCTGGATAAGTAATGCCTATTGTTCGAGAAGTTGTATTAGCTAGTGTTATCCTTCTCATTATCCTGTTATCTAAGAATTTCGAGCTATTGCATAAATTTAGGAGGAGTTGTGATTATGTTATTGTATGATTTGCACGGAGCAAGTCCAATTCTAGAAATAGTCCCTGCACTTACCAAGAACTTGAGCCCATATTTCTGTTTCGTCCATGACAGATGCTTCATCTTCTAGTTCTGCTTGTGATTTTTGCAAGTCTACCATCTCTTTCTATCATACAATATCAAATGGTTGTTAAAATAAATCATCTTAATTATAAAATATATTTGTGTAATAAGTGATATATCTTACATATCGCTACTCAACAAGTTGGTTATTCCATCATTTTGTTGTTGAATGCATCCTCCTAAATAATTCAACGTGACCAACTGACCTGTGCACATTGATATAATTGTTAAAAATATAAGTTAATCACTCACTTATTATTCCAATATATGTAAATCACAATTGTGAAATAAAAAAATCAAAAAGCATGGATAGAATAGTTCACACGTTATAGTTTTCTTGTTCACATACTATTAAAATTCAATTGGATTACCAATGTTTCCCTAGTTGGAGCGAGTAATCTAGTCCCATCATTGTGATCATATAAACCAACATCAAATATTTCATGAACATGGAAAATTGAAAAAGTAATTAGTGATTATATTATTGCTGCAAAAAAATAAACATATAGCAAAGGAAATCGGGATGGGAGCAAAAAATCAACAAGAAGCAAGTAATGTGGGAAGTTTTCAAATCATTAAACCATAAGATAATTGAAAAGAGTGCCTTTTACACCGTTCAAGTATAATAACTCACCAAATCCGGACTTCTATTGGATCATAAAGTCTTATATATAGTTAACGAGTTTCCTCAAATCTTAATTTCCTACTGATAGCTAAAACATAGATGCAGCACACAATTCATGTTTGTTCGTCGTGCTCGTGTACTCTTTATACCAACGATTAAAAAATCTAAACACACATATATCAATAGAAAATTAACACTGGGAAAAGCTAAATGCCATTTCATAATTTTTCAACTATTTTTCCCATTTCAGCAAACAACCAAAGCAAAAAATTCAATAGATAAACCCAAGTTTTCCCTCCAATTATTAGTCACAAAAAAGAGAGAAATTGCTAAAATGAAACATAAAAAGTAACTGGAGCGCCAAGGATGACAAGCACCAGCAGAAGTGTGAAGTGTAGACAGATAATTTAACTTCCATATCCCCATAAAATTTCAGATTCCGTCATCAAATAAATAGTGCCTAGTTGGATCTTTATGAGTGGGATATTATTGCCCCAACTACTTTAGCGACAAAGTTGTGAGTAGTTGCAAAAGACCAAGTTCAACGACCATTCAGTGATTGTTGGAGTGGAGTAGTATCTAACAACCATCACCATTGGGCAATAGGCCAACTACTTTACCAAGATATAAGTGGTTGCAGAAGACTGGGTTCAGCAACCATTCAGTGGTCACTGAGGTGGTTCTCTTACGTGGGAAAATTTTGGCTCTTTTTTTGCACTGCCCTTTTAGACCAATATTTAAATGTATGGTCCTTGATTCTCTAAATCTGTGACCAAGGATTGGTCAAAATAGAATATGACAAAATTAGTCCAATTTTACCCGACCAAAAACCTCTACCAACCAATAGTTGGTCGCTAAACATTTGGTCAATGGAACCCATTAATTTTTGTAGTACCTCTAATTCATCTTCACTAACTTAATTATCATTTTGTTCAATGGTTCTGCAAACAAATCAAAATATAGAAGCTTAGTTGTTGCTAAAAACTAAGTTCAGATTTTAACAGTTCAACAAAAAATACTTTAAGTAATTACTCTATCCATTTTTCAGGGTGACGATCCCAACAAGAACTCATATTCTTTACTTTACTGATACTCAAGCTCCCAACATACTGAAACGCCACCAATCATATTATATCTCTCATTGGTGAATAAAAGAACTATTAAACTCAAGAAAAGATATACACAACTCTATCAAGGAATTTTAATGAAATAGCTGACAAGTTGATTTTAGTTTTCTTTAAGGTCATGCTTCATAATTAAACTCAAGATGTTGTCCATTTAACACACTCCAAGTATACTAGTGTTATCTCAATTACTTCTACAATAAAGACAAATTACAAACTTGAATAATAAATCGATCAACATTACAACCTTCTAATATAAGGTATCAACCGTTAGTCATTGATAATTAACAAATTATTTATGATTAAAATATATGTTGTGTCACATCGTACTAGTCAAGAGGTGATCATAGGAACTTTAATTTGCATGCTCAATAGTAAATAAATAAAATAAAAATAGCAAAATGCAAAATTTATTTATTATCAAAAGTTGCAATTTTACTCGAGCAAAACTATGTTGCACGAGCACACAACTCAACAAATTGCCCATTTGTCATATACTATTTCAACCTCATGCTTTTCACATGTCCGTAAAAAACCTTAGGTGAAAGGATTTTGGTAAATGGATCCACGAGGTTATCCATGGTAGCAATCTTAATGACAACCACGAAAACATTATAATCAATCTCTCTCAAAAGATAATATTTTTGTTCAATATTTTTACCCTTTGATGACTCTTTGGTTTTTTAGCATTTGTCACTGTCATATTATTATCACAATACAATGACAAGGGTTTTGCAGATCCAAGCACCACCACTATGTTCGTTAAGAATTTCTTGATCCATATCACTTCTTTAGCAACTTCACAAGATGCCACATACTCAACCTCCATTGTGAAAGTAGCATTGTATAACTACTTGATACTTCTCCGAGTAAAGTTCCCATCACCTAGTGTAAAAAATGATCCTAATGTATATTGCAATAATCTTTATCAGCTTGGAAGTCAAATTCACATAACTCAACGGAACAAGATCCAGTGATGAGTAATATGTCCTTGTTCTCCAAAAATACTTAAGGATTTGCTTCACAGTCATCCAATGTTTCAATCCCTCATAACAAATGTCAAGTCTAATGCACAACATAGCAAACATGAAACTATCCACTATCAATGCATATGGTATCCTATAGAGGTGCTCCATTTCTTTAGGAGTTTTAGGGGACTAATTCTTATAGAGTTGAATTCCATGTTTGAAGGGAAGATTGCCCTTCTTGGAATCTTGGATGACAAATATGATAAGTATATTATTAATATATCTTGGTTTAATTCTATTAGTTTGTGCTTTCTATCTCTCAAGATCATAGCTAGCTTCACTTAAATTTATATGAAATTGTTGGATCAACTATGCTTTTATAGACAATAACGCTCTCGTATCATTTCCAATAAGTAAAATATCAACCATATAAAATCCCAGGGAAATTATTGTTTTGTCTTAATATCTTCTTATAGATATATGGATTGTCAAAGTTCTTATTACAACCAAAGTTCTTATTAAAACCACAGGTTTTATCTCAATACCTGCTTCAATTCATAAATAAACTACTGAAGCTTGCCGACTTTGATTTTATGACCATGTTCTATGAATTCATTTGGTTATATCTCATAGATATATGCCTCAGCCCTTCCAAAATTTGTCTTAACATCCATTTGTCACACATCCTAATCAAAATGAGTTGCAATGTATAAGAAAATAAATATAGACTTAAGCATAGCAATAGGCGAGAAGGTCTCCTCATAATCAATACCTTCTAGTTGGGTAAAATCTTTAGCAACTAGCCTTGCATTGAAGGTTTCCACCTTTCCATCCACTCTTCTCTTTATCTTTTGTACCCATTTGCACCCAATGAGTTTTATCCCTTTTGGCGTATGTGCAATTTCCTAGATCTTTGGATCCTAGATTAAAGCATCATTGGAATCATAAAGTTCGTATGAATGTCGATATCACCATTAGGTGACGCCATAATGTTTACTTGATATATGGATCTAATGACAACTCTTCTTCTCCACTCAGATTATGTTATCTTTGTATTCTTGACACCAAGGGCTACCATGTTCTGTTTAAGGAATCGATGGAGGATTTGTTCCTATTCATTTCTTCTAATACGACTTTACTCTAAAATTGACGTTCATTGATATGCTTATCATCCAAAAGGTTACATTTATACTAATAAGGACCTTCTTATCTAGAGGACCATAAAAATTATATCCTCTAGTATCCTTAGGGTATTACATAAACAGGAACGTCTCTAACATAGATTCCATCTTTTCTACCATTCCTTTTAGAACATGAGTTGGACATTCCCAAATTCGGATGTGGCATAATCTAGACTTAGATCGATCCCACAATTCTAGAGAAGTGTTGAGTACAGACTTAAATTGAACTAGATTAATAACATGTGATGTTGTCTCCAGTGCATATCTTCAATGTCCTATGTCTTCTTTCTAAAACACCGTTCTGTTGGGGTGTTCCAAGCACATTCAATTGAAAAACAATAAAATTTTTGGTCAAATTGTCCTTGAATTCTCCCAAGAGATTCCGCATCTCGATCTAATTGAATAGTCTTAATAATCTTACCTAAATATGTCTCGATTTCAACCCAATACTCTTTGAATTTCTCAAAAGCGTTTGACTTTCGAGTTATTAGGTAAATGTATCCAAATCTAGAGTAATATATATAAATGTGATAAAATAATCATTGTCCCCTCTAGAACAAGAATTCATGGTTCCACACATATCAAAATGAACTAGATCCAATAATTTTTGGCTCAATGTCCTTCAGCCAAAAACGATTGCTTGGGCATGTTACATTCCAAACAAGAATCACAAATTGACAATGATTTGACCTTAAGAAAGTTAAGGGGACCAACTTTGACCAATCTTTATATCATGTTAATGTTAATATGTCCAAGTCTAAGATGTTATGTGTAATTTTTATCACAAGAAATATTGTGAACAAGTAATAGAGTATACCTACGAGTCCATCGTTAACCAAGAGATTATTATTTAGGCCCTGTTTGAGCCGCATTATTTGGAGAAAAATACATTCTTAAGCAATAATTTGACATCATTTCAACCACGCATTTTTCAATAAAATAAAATTATATGCAAATCAAAAACTTATCCTTATTTTTAACCACACATTGTCCATTAATTTATTACTCCAAAATACATTTTTTTAGAAATAATGTAGCTCAAACACACGCTTAACCTTTAATTTGCTATTCACGACCCTTAATTGATGAAAAATAAATAAAAATGATTTAATTAAACTCATAAATATTCTGATTTAACTAAATCTATCTAACAGTCCATATTCAAGTAAAATTAGGGTTTTTACGTATGAACAAGAATGTTAGGACTCGCGAATTCACCTAGTTTTCATCTTTATTTCTCATCTCAATATTGATTTCTAATGTAGTATTTGGTTGAACCCTTCTTAATTAAACAATTCATCTCTTTCAAACTTATCTTAATCCTACTTAGCTAAGTCAATTCACCATATTTCTATGTAAATCTAAATAAGCCTTAACCAAATGCATTCAAGTTCATGGAAATTCAATTAATGACCATAACAATCATAAAAGGATATCACCTTTTTATCTAAACTGTCAAAATTTACCACATGTTTTAAATCTAAAACTTACATCTCTATTCATTACGATTTCATAAATTAAATGAAATGATCACCAATTATTTGGAAACATTAAAAACCATAAATAAAATCGACACATGAAGAATTAAAATACAAGAATCTTAAAAATTGAAACTAGAAAATCATTAGGTTACATTGTCCTAACTATGAATTTATCTACTCATGATGATTGAAAATTACATCTAAAAAGAATTTAGCTAGCTCATCACCAGGTTTTGAAACAAATGAAAAGAAAAGTAGAAGATCTTGCACCAAGAATCATCTTTTCGAAGTCGTAACCTCGAAAACCCTTATTGTTGCTCCTTTGATCTAGAATTGAAATATGTTCTCTCTAAAATTGTGTTTTCCAGTAAAAAGAGTGGCTGAAACTCTATATTGTAGTCTAAACTAGTTATAGAGACTAGAAATGAGCTTCAAATGGTATATAATAATAGTTAGTCGAATTAGGAAAACTTGAATTTTTCGTCCCAATTAATCATTGCGATCGAACCTTTGTTTGGCTTGTGACCGCATAGTTCAGTGTTTTTTATTTTTTTGGTAATTTCAAATCTTTACTCTAAATCGCTCCTATTTTGCCATTACGATTGCAACCGTTAACTTCTATTTAGGATGTGCACTTAGGTCCTCCACTTCAATTTCTTGTTCAAACCCAAGTCTTCCACTATTTGCATGGTAAGTCCTTCAACTTCGAACTTGAATTTGTTCAACTTCACTCGTTTTTCATTCGTACTAATCTCTTTCATCCGGTCACATACAAACTTGATTTTCTCTTAAATTAATCATTTAACATGCAAAATTTAATTTATAAATAAAAAAAATAC